CTTTCACCTGCCTCCAACCCCATCCCTCACGCCCTTCCTTCCCCTCTCCCACACCCCCACTGCTCCGCCACCTCCCCCACTCTCCCCCACCCCACCCTCTCACCCCCTCCCTCCTCCCTCTCTCAGCTTCGCGGACAACGCCCTGCGCACGCTCACACTGATCCGCCTCCCCCCACTCCCCCCCCTCCCCTCCCCTCTTCTCCCCGTTACCCCCCCCCTCCAACCCCCCCCTGCGCCGCTCTCCCCCTTCGCTCCGTATTCCCCCCACCCCACAGGTCACCCCTCTCGCCCCGGGAGCCATGGACTCAGTGGTGCTCAGCTTCGCAGACAACGCCCTGCGCACGCTCACCCTCGCGTACCGCGACCTGCAGCCGGGGGAGATTCCCGAGGGCGGTGTGTGGGGCGACCGCGACGACATCCCCGACAACGACCTCATTCTGCAGGCTGTGGTGGGAATCAAGGACCCTCTGCGCGCCGAGGTGCCGCTCGCCGTGCAGACCTGCAAGACCGCTGGGCATGTGGTGCGTGGGGGGGGAGGGGGCGGGGCCGGGGGAGGGAAGGGAAAGGGGACGGGGGCGTGGGGTGGGTAGGGGTGTTGGTCGGTGGGAGGGTGGATGGTGGTGGGTAGTGGGAGGTGGAAGGGAGGAGTTGCTAGTGAGTGGAAACTAGGGGATGATGAGGTATGAGGGTACCTGCGCGCGCTGCCCTCCACTCACTCCCCTTGCATCCATGCTCTGTGTGTGTGATTGTTGTTCCAAAACCTGTTGTTCAGGCTCGTTAACCTCTCCACTTCCTGCCCTCACCCACACCCCACCCGCATCCCCTCCACCCGTATTTTCCCCACGCGCATTCCCCGCCCGCCCCAATCCGAACCCGTTTATTCCTGTCGTGCTGTCCTTTCCTGGCCTGACCTGCCCCACCCTCCCCCTCCCAACCCTCCTGCTCTTCCTTGTTGCGTTTGCCTCTGTATCCTTCCCCATCCCATCCACATGCCCCCTCGCCCTCCGCCATACACCTTGTGAACAACCATTCAAGCCAGCTACCAACGCCCATGCTCATAGCCGCTGCTAATGCTGAAGAATTACCTTACGTACTCCACGTTCTCTCACCCATGACCACGCCAACCTTTTCCTCCTCACCCACATGCACAATAACCAGCACCCGCGCCCTCTCGTTTGCCCTCTCTCCCCATTTCCCCTATGCACGTCTCCTCTGTCTCCCCACTCCAGACGCACATGCCAGCGTCCGACAAGCACAGCTGCCACACAGCTCTCGCCAACAACTGCTACCACAGTCCACTCACACTGCTCACACAATCCCTCTCTGCCTGCCCTTCCCTTCTGCATCCTCCCTCTCCCTCTGTTTCCCATCCCTCCTCCCTCCCCTCCCCTCCCCTCCCCTCCCCTCCCCTCCCCTCCCCTCCCCTCCCCTCCCCTCCCTCCTCTCCCCACCTGTGCAATGCCCCCCTGCTCGTGGTGCGAGCCATGCAGGTGCGCATGGTGACGGGGGACAATCTCAACACGGCCATGGCGATAGCGCGCGAGTGCGGCATTCTCACGGAGACGGGCGAGGCCATAGAGGGCCCCAAGTTCCGACAGCTCTCCAAGGACCAGATGATGGCGCTGCTGCCCCGCCTCCAGGTATGCATGCCCGCCTGCCTGCCTGCCCGTCTTCCTGCCTGCCTGCGCGCCTGCCAGCCTGCCTGCCTGTCTGTCTGCCTGCCTGTCTGTCTATCTCCATACTTCAACCATCCACACCACAAACACCCACTCATCCCCATCACTCGCTCTCCCCTCACCTCACCGCGCCTGCTCTTGGCACGGCCGTCCCTAACGGGAAAGAGCATGGTGGACGGGCGAAGTGACAGAAGACATTACCAGCCCACACTTGGCACTCGCACAACTGCACTCCTTCCCTCCCGTTGCTCCCCCTGTGCCGTGTGTGTGATGTGTGCATGGCGTGCGGTGCGCAGGTGATGGCACGGTCGTCCCCCACAGACAAGCATACGCTGGAGCTTCAGAGGGTTCTGACAAGCACCCCTCCCTTCCTGCTGCCTGCTGCTGCTATACCCAACGCCCCTTCCCCCAGGTGATGGCACGGTCGTCCCCCACGGACAAGCACACGCTGGTGAGCGTGCTGCGGGAGATGGGCGAGGTGGTGGCCGTCACGGGCGACGGCACCAACGACGCACCCGCTCTCAAGGAGGCAGACATTGGACTCGCCATGGGCATCGCCGGCACTGAGGTGAGGAGATAGAAAGGGGGGATAGGGCTTGACTGCCAGATACTCTGGACTGATTGTTATGCACACCAATGACGCGCCTGCTCTTAAGGAGGCTGACATTGGGCTTGCCATGGGCATTGCCGGCACTGAGGTGAGCGGTAGTAGAGTGGGGATAGGGCTTGACTGCCAGATACTCTGGACTGATTGTTATGCACACCAACGACGGGCGTGCTCTTAAGGAGGCTGACATTGGGCTTGCCATGGGCATTGCCGGCACTGAGGTGAGCGGTAGAGTGGGGATATCACGTACCGAGGTGGCGTCTGTATCGCGTATGCTACCCATTTCACATGGACAGACGGACGTCCGTGACTCCACTCACCTCAGCTCAGTCAGCCCACTGCGGGGCACCACCCTACCTCCTTATAAATAAACCCTCTCTCCCCTCATCTCATTTCCAAGTGCTCACCGCCAACCCCTCAGGTGCCAAACGAAAGTGCTGACTTCATAGTCTTATCATTTGTCCTTTCGTCCCACCCTCACTGCTTCACCCTATCCATCCCTCTCTCCCGCCCTCCCCCCTCGCTCCCTCGCCTTGCCCCACTCCCCTCCCCTCCCCACAGGTGGCGAAGGAGAGTGCGGACGTGATAGTGATGGATAACAACTAGTTGTGAGGCGCCTTAAAACTAAACTAGCCTCTTTGTACCCCCGGCTCCCTTCACCCCATGTCCCCTTCGCCCGCCCTCTCATGCCCCACGCTCCCTTTCCAACTCTCTTCCCCGCTCCCCCTCCCTCTCGCTCTCCCCCACAGGTGGCGAAGGAGAGTGCAGACGTGATAGTGATGGACGATAACTTCTCCGTGGTGAACGTGGTCAAGTGGGGGCACAGCGTCTACGCCAACAGGTGACTTTTGAGTCGACTCAAAAGTCCCCCATCCCCCGCCCTTTTCTTTGGCCCCACAGGTGGCGAAGGAGAGTGCGGACGTGATAGTGATGGACGACAACTTCTCCTCGGTGGTGAATGTGGCCAAGTGGGGGCGCAGTGTGTACGCCAACATCCAGAAGTTCGTGCAGTTCCAGCTCACCGTCAACATCGTTGCCCTTGTCACCAACTTCGTCTCCGCCTGCACCACTGGTACGCCGCCGCTGCTGCCGCTGCTGCTGCTGCTGCTGCTGCTGCTGCTGCTGCTGCTGCTGCTGCTGCTGCTGCTGCTGCTGCTGCTGCTGCTGCTGCTGCTGCTGCTGCTGCTGCTGCTGCTGCTGCTGCTGCTGCTGCTGCTGCTGCTGCTGCTGCTGCTGCTGCTGCTGCTGCTGCTGCTGCTGCTGCTGCTGCTGCTGCTGCTGCTGCTGCTGCTGCTGCTGCTGCTGCTGCTGCTGCTGCTGCTGCTGCTGCTGCTGCTGCTGCTGCTGCTGCTGCTGCTGCTGCTGCTGCTGCTGCTGCTGCTGCTGCTGCTGCTGCTGCTGCTGCTGCTGCTGCTGCTGCTGCTGCTGCTGCTGCTGCTCGAATGTCTCGTTCCGTCCATTGCTTTTCAGCACTGTGTGCTGTTGTGAAAGCACAGCACTTCACCACCGCTTACTCCATGTCCAGAGCCACCAACCTGTTTCACACCCACACCATCCCCCACACCCCCTCCCCCCCCTCCCCACCCTTTCGTACCCCCTTTCTCCTCCTCTCAACATTTTCCCGCTCGCACCCACCTCTCTTTCCTGCTTTCTTCCTCCCACCCCCCTTCCTCTACCTTCAACAACCCCCTCCCTTCCAACCCCCACCATTCAAACAACTCCCCTACCCAGGCTCCGCGCCACTGACAGCAGTGCAGCTGCTGTGGGTGAATCTCATCATGGACACGCTCGGTGCGCTGGCCCTCGCCACGGAGCCGCCCGACGCGGAGCTGATGAAGGTGGGGCCGGTGGGGCGGCGCGCGCCCTTCATCAGCGCGGTCATGTGGCGCAACATCATCTGCCAGGCCGTGTTCCAGCTGCTCGTGCTGGGCGCCATCATGATGTGGGGGCCCTGGATCTTTGGCTTTGCCATTTCGCCCGATGCGCCGCAGCGCCTCGACACTGTTGTGTTCAACACCTTTGTCTTCTGCCAGGTGGGTGCTCTGCTGTGTGGGCGGGGATTGGGGGTGGCTGATCAGGGGTGAGGGGGTGACTGCGGATGGGGGGCTGACGGGGGGATGGAATGGGTGGGAAAGGGGGTGTTGGCATGGGGGGGGGGAGGAAGCGAGGGATGGGAGAGAGGGGAGGGAAAGGGGAAGACGAGGCACTTGGGGCGAAGACCTTTTAGAGAGCGTACAGTGATAAAGCCAGGGGAATGGATTGGTCCTCTTTTCAAACTGAGATTCCAGCACGTGGCTCTTCACTCTCGCTCTCTGCTCTCGTTTCAGCCCTTCCCCTCCCCAGACCCCTCATTCCCCTCCCCTTCCCCACAACCCCGAGTGATTCCCTGAATCAATCTTCAACTTCCTCCCTTCCCCCCCCCCTCTCCCCCACACCCACCGCCCTCACTCGTCTCCCCCACGCTCCACTCCTCGCCTTACCCTCCTCGCCCTTCCTCGGGGCAGTTGTTCAACGAGGTGAACTCGCGGGAGATGGAGCGGATGAACGTGCTGCGGGGCATGGAGAGGAACGCCATCTTCCTGGGCATCCTCATCGCCTCCACGGCCTTCCAGGTGCTCCTCGTGCAGGTGCTCGGCAAGTTTGCCTCCACCGTGCCGCTCACGCCCTTCCAGTTCATCGCCTGCATCGTGATTGCCTCGCTCAGCCTGCCGGTGGCGGCGGCAGGGAAGATGATAGAGCTTCCCAAGGCCCCTGTGAAGATGCTGCAGCAGGCGTCGCTGCACTACCGTGAGGTCGCTCAGGACTTTAAGCAGAAGCGCCACGCAGATTAGATGGCTGCTGTCGTGTGAATGGCTGTGAGGTGACTTTTGGGTCGAGTCAAAAGTCGCCTTGCTGCTGCGACGTCGCACGGGAGCTGAAGCGCCGTGCAGATTAGACGGTCTGGAATGGTTGCTTGGGCTGGATCGGGAGGTGACTGGACTGGATGGAGGGAATGGGTTGAGGGGCGGTGGTGCTGGCTGGGTTGATGGTTGGGAATGGAAGGCACAGCAAGGAGAGATGCGACAGGGTAGCGGTTGTGTAGGCTGCTGCAGTGGTTGTGTGCATAGGGGGTTGTCTTGTGAGGGTGCTTTCTTGCACTGCACTGCACCCCTGTGCTGCTGCTCCTGCTGCTGCTGACTCCGCTGCTCCCTCTTGGGGTGACAGAAAGCGGTTTGGTTGATACCAAAAGGGCAGGGTGGCTTAATTTATGCGGGCATCAGGGTTTCAGGAATCATCCCCAAGTTGGGGAAAGGCCTCAACCAATCAGGACATGACTGTAGTGCACAGTAGATGATCGTACCTAGAATGCGTACCACTGACTAAAAGCTTGCTAGATTGTGTGAGCGAGGCAGGAGGGAATAATTATAACTGGAATTGCAGTACGGTACGGTACGGTAGTTTTTTGTTATGCGACTGAAACTTAGCATTACGATATCCACTGTGGCAGTTTGGTTTTTGAAGCAGCATTTCACAATTTGGTTTTTGAGTTATTTCCCCCATGCCAGTACACTTCTAGAACTGCTCTGGGCTGGACGAAACTGAAGAACTCATGGTGTCTTTCAATCAATCTGAAAGTAGCCACCTCTTGAACAACCTGATGAGGACAGGACTTCAGGACTGAAGACGCGTGAATGAGCCAAGAAGAATCGTGTGAATCGTGTTGTGAGAACTCTAGTAATATTTAGCCTTCTCTATTAACGACTGTTGCTGCTGTGTTTCCTTTCTATTCAAAGCATCCTCCTCATCATCCATCGTGCCGTCACGGAACGAGACCCGTCTACCCGACCCCCGCTTGCCAGACAAGCTCCTACCTATCCTTGCACCACCTGAACTACCAGTACCTACTGCCTGCTGCTGCAAATCCCCAGCCGCCCCCTCAACTCCCGTCAGGCCATCGTCCCCTTCATCCCTGCTCTCTGCGCTCAGCCTTTTCTGGCCCAGCCCGTGCTCAGGCGACCGCTGCCTGAGTGTGGAATGTGTGGGGGAAGACTGGGGTGGTGATGCTCGCATGGAGGGACGCGCCATGGATGCTGATACACCACCAGCGGCGGTACCACCACCAGCAGCAGCACCAGCAGCAGCAGCAGAAACCACCAGCAGCGGCAGCAGGCGCAGCAGCACCAGGAGGAGGAGGCCCAGCAGCGGTGTCGGCAGCGGCAGCACCGCTGGTGGCGGCGGCGGCGGCAGCAGAGTTGCGGGTGACCAGGAGGGCCATGATGGAGCGCATGTCGCTGTGCACGCTGGCCATCATGCCACGAACCTCGCTCTGCAGCTCCATCACCATGCCCCTCACCTCCTCCACTGCCTGCTGGCTCCGCACCACCTCCTCCTGCACGGGCATGCACGGGGAGAAAGGGAGATGCGCATGAATATCTGTGAGTCGGCTGAAAAGCACCTCGCTCTGCAGCTCCATCACCATGCTCCGCACCTCCTCCACCGCCTGCTGACTGCGCACCACCTCCTCCTGGAGTGCGCCGGGACAGGGGGAATGCATGGGACTATTAGTTGACTCAAAAGCACCTCCTCTGCAGCTCCATCACCATGCCCCGCACCTCCTCCACCCCCTGTTGACTGCGCACCACCTCCTCCAGCACTCTCCCGTCACACGGGCATGCACGGTGCGTGGGGATTGATTAGAGTTGACTCAACAAGCACCACGCTCCGTAGCTCCGTCACCCCATGCGCCGCACCTCCTCCACCGCCTGCTGGCTCCGCACCACCTCCTCCTGCTCGCCCTTCCCACACGGGCATGCGACCAGACAGGAGGGGATTTGTGGGGACAGGGGGGGATGCGTGGGAAATGGTCGGAAAGGGATGTTCTGCGCTTGCATCCAGCAAACGCTGGTTAATGGGCAGCGGGTTTGCGTCCTCCCAGCAGTTACGAACAAACGATTGGAATCAACGCTAAGGTGATGGGTTTGGTTCGGTTGGACTTGAAATGCATGCCACGCTCTCACCTCGTGACTTGAATGAACTGAAAAGGTGCCTCACAAGCGCTGCTGCTACTCTGTCTCACCACCAGTGCCACAACTTACCTCACCTTGGTGCGCACGCAGCTGAGCTTTTGCACTGGCGTATTGACCGACACGCCACTTACCCAGTGTTCGAGGCGCTTGAATCCACCATTGAGGCGCCTCAAAAGTTGGCGTATTCACCGCCACCTAGCCAGCGTTTCAGGCGCCTGAATCCTTGCTGAACTTCCCCCAACGAGCGCCACAGGTGTCTCACTCACTGACCTGGATGTGCGCGAGGCTGAGTTTCTGCACGGGCTTCTTGACTGGCAGTGCGGACTGCTTTACCACCTCCCCGCACTGCAGCACGAGCGCCTGCGATAGCGCATCCATGCCCGTGTCGTGTGCGCCCCCGCACACGGTCGAGCATGCCACGGCCGAGCACAAGGGGCCCGATGGCTTCCTGGCGCCTGACTGGTGGTGCCCGTGCGATCGCTGCGGGGCGATGGGGAGAGGGGCGGGAGAGAGCAGGAGGGAGGAGGTGAGAAGGGAGAGAGTGGAAGGGAGCGGAGAGAGGTATGGGAGATGGCGTGTGATGAAGGGGGAGAATGGCGTGGAAAGAACGAGATGACGAGATGAAGTTTGCAAGGGGAGAATGGAGCTGCCTCGAGAGCAGGGTTGCTGTGGTGGGCTGTGCGATGCAAGTGCTGAGCTGAACGTCAGGATTGCCATAGATGTGAGAATGCCCATTTCCACATGATATACATGTCAGCACAAGGAGCATCACAGCACATGCCCCACGCCGAATGCCCCATGCGGGGTAAGCCCTTCGCCTCGTGAACCAAGCTACACGCCACAGAGCTTGCCAATAACCCCCTACCGCAACACACCGCACTACACAACACAGAATCGCACAGCACCGCACAGCACCGCACCGCACCGCACGCACCTCGCGGTCGAGGCGGCGCTGCAGGATGATGGAGAGGGAGATTTCATCGATGCGCTTGTCCTTCACAGTCAGCACGTGCTGCTTCCGCACCCGAGGCACAGCCGCCGCGGGGAAGGCGGGGTGCGAGTCGGCTGCACGTGTGAAGTGAGACGAGGAGGCGCTGCTGTGGCCGCTGCCAATCTGCTTGGAGATCACAGACCCCACCCGCCGTTGGATCGACTTGAAGCGGCGCATCCGACGGTCCGCCTGAGAAGCACATGTTGGGAAAAAGGTGGTGGTTTGTTTGTTGAGCAGGAAGTGGAGGTGAAAGAGGAAGCTGCAAAGATGCTGGGAGGGAGGGGTGCAGCGATGCGAGAATACAGCCAGATTACCACACTGGAGGAGCCTGCAAGTTGATGCCACACATAGCATATGCATGCATACGTATTGATACGTATACACACAGATACATGTGTGTAAATATGTGTACATATGTATCTATGTGCGTGTGTGAGTGTGCGTGAGTGCGCGCGAGCGCGTGCATTCGTGTGTGTATGTACGGTGCTAAGCACTCGCCACGAGACTAAACAGCACCGTTCCTGAATGGATTGCAATGAATCACAAGGCAGGCACGTGCAGCTGCTCTCTCCTCGTCCACGTGCGTTTTCTTGGCTCCCAGGTTCACCAGGTGCTACAGCAGGCGCGCACTGAGTCGAATGAAAAGGTGTGTCCATTTTGAGACGGCTCAAAGCACACATGCTCTCTCACCTCGTCCACGCGCGTGTCCTTGGAGGAGCCGAGGCTCACAAGGTGCTCCAGCAGACGTGCTTTGAACCGACTCAAACTGTGTGTTTCGAGTTGACCCAAAGGACACACACGTGCGCGCGCGCGCGCACACACACATGTGCATGCTCTCACCTCGTCCACACGCGTGTCCTTGGCACCGAGGCTAACGAGCTGCTCCAGCAGGCGCGAGTACGGCATGTAGCGGCCGCACCAGCACTTCCACTTGTACTTGACAATGTGCGCGATGTCCGAGGTGATAGCCGTGGCAACAACGTTGCTGTCCTTGACGCTCATGAAGGCATCGACGATGATGGCGATGAGGAAGTTGAGGAGAATGAAGACCATGAGCACGATGAACATGAAGAAGAATAGCATGGCGGCTATGAGGTCCCAGGACTCGAGGCGCTGGAAAAAGTAGGCTGAGGAGTTGTCGTTGAGGAGCAGCAGGAAGCAGGAGAACATGGAGGTGAGGATTGTGGAGAACTGGAGGAGGGAAGGGGAGGAGGGAACGGGGAAGAGGAAAGGAGAGGAGAGGGTGGGGGGATTTGGAGGGGCGGACAGTGCGAAGTTGTGGGAGAGAGCATGACGTGAATGAATGTGGGAGAGAAACAAGTGGATACAATGGAGAATCAGCAGACATGGGAGCGCGTACGAGCAGACAGACTTGGTGAAGAGCAGGGCGCGTCCAAAGACGAGGTAGGCATACATATATGCTGAAGCAGAAGAATGAGGGAGAGAAACGAATGGACAAAGGAGAGAAGCAGCCTCAGGCAGGTCCGCTTCACACCACACGCACCTGCTCGAGTGCGCCTCCAAAGACGAGGTAGGCATACATGCTGAAGCAGAAGAAGACCGCAAATGAGAGCAGGAAGAAGTGCAGCAGCGAGGGCGTGGCGAGGGCGAGCGAGCGGGTGATGACGCCAAGGTATGGCTGGAAGTCCATGAACTTGAGCAGACGCACCATCATTAGGAACAGGCTGGGATGGGGGGTTGGGATGCCGGGCGGGTAAGAAGGGTATGAGGAGGTGTGTTTTGAGGCGGCTCAAAACTCCACAGGTACGGCTGGAAGTCCATGAACTTGAGCAGACGCACCATCATCAGGAACAGGCTGGGGCAGGGCAGGGGATGCCCGCTGGGTAAGGAGACAGGAGGAGGCATGAGTGTATGTGTGCATGAAGGGGAGTTACGGTTTAAGGATTGTGTTGTCGTGCCAGAAACATTTGACGTACGAGTGAGGGAGAATTTGGCATGAAAGTACCATATTTACCTTTGTTGAGGTGGTATGTATGTATGTATGTATGTATGTATGTATGTATGTATGTATGTATGTATGTATGTATGTATGTATGTATGTATGTATGTATGTATGTATGTATGTATGTATGTATGTATGTATGTATGTATGTATGTATGTATGTATGTATGTATGTATGTATGTATGTATGTATGTATGTATGTATGTATGTATGTATGTATGTATGTATGTATGTATGTATGTATGTATGTATGTATGTATGTATGTATGTATGTATGTATGTATGTATGTATGTAGCAGGCCTGTCGATTCACGGACATTTGTCCGTTTTCCCTGAGAATTCAGGGTTAGTTATAGCTCAGCTCAGAGATTTTCAGAGTTGGTTTTTCCCCCAGCCCGTATTCCTAACGGACAGGTTTTGGGGCTCCCCGGATTCCCGTACCTGCCACCCCCCCTCCCCTCCCCCCCTTTCTTCCCGACCTTAGGCCGCAAACTTGTCCCTCTCCCACTCCTCCCAACAACACCAGCCCCCCACGTTCCCCTAGCGTACTCTGCTCTTTAGTGTATGTCTAGCTCGAATAACTTAGCTTTATTACGCACACATTCTCAGAGCTGGAAATATGAATGCCCTGAATTTACGTCTGCTTCCCGGACAGCTCAGGGTTGTTTCCGAGGCAGCTCAGGTTCTTACGGGTTGGACTCAGACCAATCGTCAGCCCTGGTATGTATGTATGCATGTATGTACTCTGCATGCGTGCTGGATGCGGGCATGTGTGTGTGTTTGTGCGTGCGCATGTGTGTGCATGTGTATGCATGCTTGTATGTATGTACCTATCCGCTCTCCCAGTGCATTCACACGAGCGCCAGGGCACAGCATTACACATGCCAGCACAGCAGGCTAACACCAACAGAGCATGCCATGCGTCACTCACTTGATGCCCTGCATTGCAAAGTACACGGCGCGCACGTTGATGATGTAGCGCAGGTCTAGGAATGCCTGCCCCGCCAGCATGAACCCTGTAGGCGGATTGGGCACGGCCCAGTAGCGCGGCATCTCGAGTAGCGAGTAGTAGATGTTGTAGCGTGGCTGCATGTCGAATGATTCCACTGCTCTCCACAGCACTATCCTGCACGCACACGCGCCACAATCAGGGTAATGAAAGGGGCTTTTGAGTCGAATCAAAAGTAGTGTGGCATCTCGAGCAGCGAAGCAGATGTTGTAGCGCTGCTGCATGTCGAATGATTCCACTGCTCATGTTTTAGCATAGCACCATCCTGCACGCACACACGTCACGCAGAGAAGGGGGTGATGGAGAGGAGGAAGGGAATTTTGAGTCGACTTGAAAGTAGCGGGGCATCTTCGAATGCGTCTACTGCTCGCCACAGCACCACATTGCGTCGACTTGCAGTAGAGGCATTCAAAGATGGTGCTGCACAACACCATCCTCCCTACACCAGCAGGCACCCATGGCAGGAGCAGAGAGGACAGTGAACCATGAAGCGGGAGGAGTAGGGGGGATGAAAAGCGGGACGAGGGCGAAAGATTGTGGAAAGCAAACAGGAAAGTGGGCGAGAAGGGGAAAGAGGGGAGGAGGTGGGAACGAGTATTTGTGTGAGCAAGGGCGAACGGGAAAGCATACGGTGCAAAATGTGAAAGGAGGGAGTATGAGCAGCAACAATGGGCCAAGAAAGTGGGCGATGAGCTTAAATTATGCCGCTTGAGCCCATAAACTGCTCACCAGATATGATACGACTAAGGTACGACCAGAGAAAAGCAAGAAACATACAACCAACCATCCTGAGGCTCACGAGGCGCTCACCAGATGGCAATGGCGGTGAACTGCAGTGCGAGCGAGAAGAGATCCACCCAGTTCCACACGAGGCCAAAGTACCCGAGTACCGTGCCCTCCATGCGCACATGGTCCATCATCTCACACGCCTCGCCGTACACGTTCCACAGCAGCCCCAGCACGTAGAATATTTCCAGGATGAGCCGCGTGGTGTTGGCGGGGGATGTGCCTCCGCCCCCGCCGCCGTACATGTGCATCGCTGCTGGCTGCGACTTGATCGTCACGCCGATCTGCCCGCCCGTGTTCACGTCGCATGTCACTGTCGTGAGCACGAACGTGCGTGCCTCGCCTGGTGTCGTGAGGGTGGAGTGGTGTGGAGGGGAGAGGAGTTTTTTAAGGCGCCTTGGAATGTGCCTCAGTTCAGAATTCGCGTGTCACTGTGATGAACGTGAGTGTGTGTGCTTAGTCTGGCGGGGTGAGAGTGGAGAGTTGTGGAGGGGAGAGGTGGGTGCGGTGAGAGAGGAGGAGCATGAGTCGCAAGGGATTAGTTCGGAAAGCAGCGCGCCGGAAAGCAGCCGGCGGCGGTGCGAGTACCGTTGAAGATGTTGAAGTGAAGCTCACCTCGATGCTGTGAGTGCCCGTGACGGCAGGGCAGCAGTAGGATGGGATGGTCGTGTTAGCAAGGAGACGATAGTCAGCCAGGAAGAACGTAACCCTGAGAAGAATCTGAGTAAAATCCGAATGTACAACAGCCCACTTGAAGCTCTAGACTCAGGCGAATACCAGGAGATTAGAAACCTGACTCGGATCCAGAAGACCAAGCTCGTCCTAATACGTTGAAGCTCTAGATGTAGGCCAGTACCATTGACGGTGATGAAGCTGACGTCGATGGTGCGTGTGCTGTTGTCAATGTAGCCGCCTTCCACCAGGTACTGCAAGCGCCTTGTGGCCGCCTCGTTGTCCAGGTTGATGTCAAACACCAGAGGGAAGCGCGGCAGCGCGTCCTGGGACGAGGAGAGGCAGGGACAAAGGGGTGGAGGGAAAAGGTAAAGAGACAAGAGGGGGCGGGGAGGGGTTTGATGCGACCCAGAAATCGCCGCCTTCCACCAGGTACTGCAAGCGCCTTGTGGCTGCCTCGTTGTCCAGGTTGATTTCAAACACCAGTGGGAAGCGAGGTAGCGCGTCCTGCCACACAGAGAGAGGGACGAGGGTGCAGAGGGATGGGAGGAGGGGGAGGGGGGGAAGTTTGCACCTCCATCACGATGCAGCTTGTAACCCGTCTGTCTCACTCACAACAAGGTAGATGAAGCCGTCGGCAGATTTTGAGTCACAAAGCAGTCACAAGCTTGTCTCCATCATAATGCAGTGTGTGTGTGTCTGCGTCACTCACCACAGGGTAGATGAACCCGTAGGGGAGGCCCTGTGGGTTGAATAGCAGCTTGGAGCCGAAGGTGCTGTTGTCGAGCTGGCTCATGTTGGCGGTGGCAGCGGTGTCGTAGAGGGACGAGGTGGCCAGGAAGTGCGGGTTCACGCCAAAGGGGTCCCTGGATGGGCCGCTGCTGCACCAGCCGCCCAGGTGTAGCACCCTGGCGGGAAAGGCGGGAGGGGATGGGGTGATGGGGGAAGGGGAGCGGGGTGTGGAGGGATTTAGGGGTGTTTCTATGGAGGGAAAGTGATGGCTTATGTAGTGGCACATGTCACATGGCACATGGCACACAGCACATGGCACACGGCACACGGCACATTTCAGACTCGTCACAGGGTGAGCTGGATCACGCAATTCACGAGCAGGGCAGCGCACAACGCTTGCGCAACCACGACCACGCAGCGCCAGCCCATGAGCAGTGAAGTTCACGGATGGAGGGTGTAGAGTAGAGTAGAGTAGAGCATCATTGAGACTCACCCTTCTCCCGTGCAGACCTGCGTGCTCACTCTGTTTTTGAGGCGCCTTTTTTGAGGCGCCTCAAAACTCGTCTCATGTTTTGAGGCACCTCAAAAATCGTCTCATGTTTTGAGACGCCTCAATAATCGTCTCATGTTTTGAGGCACCTCAAAAGCAGAGCATCATTGCGACTCACCCTTCTCCTGTGCAGACCTGCGTGCTCACTCTGTCCTGCTGCAGCACCATACCTATCAAAAGCCTGTCTCAACCGCACACAGGGTGAACGGGGAGGGTTACGTGGAAGGCGGAAAGAAGGGGAAAGGGGAAGGAGTGGAAGGAGTGGAAGGAGTGGAAGGGGTGGAAGATGAAGAAAAGAGTAAGGGAGGGAACGGGTAGAATACGAGAAAGTGGGTAGACAAGTTGACGGGTCACGGGGTGTTAGATAAACCTAGACTGCACCCAGGGGTTGGGTTGTATTTCGCGTGTGGTGGGTTGAAGTAGAATAGGAGAAAATGATTGCAAGCAGTGGAGCTATTATCTACGAGGGTTGAACTCCACGCGGTATCCTGCTTCCACGATCGAACTCACCCCCCCTGCATGGGCAGGACACTTGAAGCGTACCGGTTGCGATGCGAGACAAAGCGATGGACAGCGGTGTCTCTCTCAGCAGCGAAGGCATGGTTGGTTTCGGTGTAGTTGGGGCCGTATCGCTGCAGCGAGAAGGGAAAGTTGAGGTTGGTGCCCACTGCTGTGGACAGACAGCATGCTGGCAGGGCGAGGTGCGAGTGAGGGAGAGCGGGAGAGGGAGAGAGAGAGAGAGGGAAAGAGAGAGTGGGAGAGCGAGAGAGAGGGAAAGAGAGAGAGGGAGATGGGAGAGGATTGGAGACAGGAGAGAAGTGAGATGAATGCAGGACACAAGGGCTGCAAAGCATGCTTTGAGTAGCTTCCCGCTACCACCATGACATCCCCGGCACATGGCGCGTTGGAGACAGGAATGGAAGGGAGAGAGACAAGGAGAGAGTACGGAAAGCCACATCAGTAGGGAAGAGAGACAGGGGGCAACAAGGAACAAGGCATGGGGATTTCAATAAAGAAAAGAGGGGGGGAATCTTGTACTAAAGATGGCGGGAAGGAGACAGTAACTTGCTAGATGCTGTGCAAGTGTGTGCAGGGAGCGAATGGTTTGCGGGAGGGAGCGAGTGGTTTGAGGGAGGGAGCGAGTGGTTTGAGGGAGGGAGCGAGTGGTTTGAGGGAGGGAGCGAGTGGTTTGAGGGAGGGAGCGAGTGGTTTGAGGGAGCGAGTGATTTGAGGGAGGGAGCGAGTGGTTTGAGGGAGCGAGTGGTTTGAGGGAGCGAGTGGACTTACAACCATCATCTCGGCGTGTGTGGGCGGGCGGGCAGGCACAGATGCCGGGGCCAAAGAGCGGGTCGACACACGCACAGTCGCCACCGTCAAAGGCGCATGCACGCGTGTTGCATGCCGCATCGCACACCCCGTTCGCCAACCGCTGCAGCCGACACCCCGGCGCACAGAAGTAAGAAGTTGGGGCAGAGGCAGAGGAGGAAGAGGGGGAGGAGGAGGGGGAAGTTGAGGTGGTGGTGCTGGAGGTTGGGTCTGGGGAGGGGTTGGATGTGGGGAAGAGTGGGGTGCCAGTTGTGGCGGTGGCGTTGGCATCGGCCTGACCTGCATTACATTGCATTGCATTGCATTGCACGCATACATGCATGGACACGAACCGTGAGAGAGGCATGAACCGGGGAGGAGAGACGGGGCATGGAGAGAAGGAAAGACGGGAGGCAAGCGCAAGTAGGTTGAGTGAGGGGGAGAATGCATGGGAGGAAGTGATAAGAGAAAGAGAGAGCATGCATGGGAGAAAGCGACACGAGAGAGAAAGAGAAAGAGGGACCCTTTGAAGAGTGTTCTGACAACACAGGGGCCTGTGGGCTCATTGTAAAAAGCAACCATCAAGGGCTGTGGTGACAAAGAATCTTTGTCAAAGATCAGCCAAACAACGATGGTCCCTCTCACACTAGGCACAGATTCCAGTGAGAGAGAGAGAGAGCGTGTGTAGTCAGAAGCTATACCCACCCACCAGCCGCATCGGGTTTCTGAGAATTTCAAAAGACTGCTCACCAGCAGCAGAATCGTCTCCCGCTGTGGCAGGAAGCACCGTGAGAACGCTGGCAGAGGAGGAGGTGGCGGAGGAGGAGGAAGAAGAAGAGGAGGAAGAAGAGGAGGAAGAGGCGGAGGGGGAGAGGCTCTGCTGAGCTGCTCCTCCTGGGAGCGCGCTGTCATCGTAATAGACCGTGGCAGGGCGAGTGAACACCTTGCTGTAGGAGAATGAACCTGCTGCCTCGCCGTCCATGCCTGGTGATGGTGGTGGTGCCGCAGTGGGGCCGCAGTGGGGCAGGTGGAAGAGAGGTAATGGTGGGAAGTGGGGCGTGAGGGTGGTGGTGTAGCTAGCAGGCAGAGGACTACAGTGAGTCGAAGCAGGCCAAGCAGGGGAGCAGGACAAGCAGGAATGGCTTACAATGGGAAATGCAACACCATAAAGTATGCATATTTTACAACCGGAAATACCACACCCGCCGCACCACACCACACCGCACCACACCACACCACACCACACCACACCGCACTCCACCACTCACTCAGGACGCATGGCAGCGGTTCGTCAGAGACGTCCCCCGCGCCGACGTTCATGGGGGTGCATGCGAGCTGGCGGGACACGGCCAGGCGGTGCCCTCCAAACCCCAGGAACAGGGGGTCCTCCGCCTCACCCATCCCCGCCACTGCCATCAGGGGGTGTGTGGAACGGAAGGGGGGAGGGGGGTATGAGACGTCTCAAAGAACCAGGAACAGCGGGTCTTCCGCCTCGCCCATCCCCGCCACTGGAGGAGGAGAGGGGGGGAGGAAGGTGGAGGTAGGGGGTTTTTGCAGGGCACAGCAAGGGAAGCTGTGTGCTCTTCTTGTGTCGAGCAATGCAGGAAAGAGCACAGAGGATGGACTTTGACGCTCTGCATGTGTTGCTTATCCGTGTCACTGGCAGCAGCAGCGGCGATGGGGGAAGAGCGGGGATGGTGGTGGTGGCGGTGGTGGTGGAGGCGGCGGCGGCGGCAGCAGCGGTGGTGGCAGCGGTGGCGGCGGCGGCGGCGGCGGCGGCGGCGGCGGTGGTGGTGGTGGTGGTGGTGGTGGTGGTGGTGGTGGTGGTGGTGGTGGTGGTGGTGGTGGTGGTGGTGGTGGTGGTGGTGGTGGTGGTGGGCGGCACAGCAATGGTAGGTGTGGGACACAAGGTAATGCTGCTGACCAGTCGACATGACAAAGGTGCACCGCTTCAGCAGCAGCGGAGACAAAGGTCCACATGAACAATCTCCACTCCACCATGGCAAACTCACAGTGCATGGGTGCGCACGCAAATGCAAAGAGATGGGATGCAATAACACGAGATAGAGAGGACGGAAGACCATTAGGGAGAAACAAAGAGCGAGCATTAGGTCAGGAAGTGATCTGGTTAGGGCGAACCTCGCAGCGAGTGCGGGAGGTCGTCGTCCCACACCCACGTGACTTTGTCACCCACATGGATGGTCGTGTTGTGCTTCACTCCCCCTCCCCACTGCAGCCACGCTCCACCTGCACCGAGACAAGACGAGACGAGACGAGAGGAGAGGAGAGGAGAGGAGAGGAGAGGAGAGGAGAGGAGAGGAGAGGAGAGGAGAGGAGAGGAGACGAGACGAGACGAGACGAGACGAGAGGAGCGGAGAGGAGAGGAGACGAGAGGAGAGGAGAGGAGAGGAGAGGAGAGGAGAGGAGAGGAGAGGAGAGGAGAGGAGAGGAGAGAAGAGGAGAGGAGACGAGACGAGACGAGACGAGTCGAGTCGAGATGAGACGAGACGAGACGAGACGAGACGAGACGAGACGAGAGGAGATGAGAGGAGAGGAGAGGAGAGGAGAGGAGACGAGACGAGAGGAGATGAGAGGAGAGGAGAGGAGAGGAGAGGAGACGAGATGAGAGGAGACGAGAGGAGACGAGAGGAGACGAGAGGAGACGAGAGGAGACGAGACGAGACGAGACAAGACGAGACGAGATGAGAGGAGAGGAGAGGAGAGGAGAGAAGACGAGACGAGACGAGACGAGAGGAGACGAGAGGAGACGAGAGGAGACGAGAGGAGACGAGACGAGATGTGGATGGATGGGGCAACGGAATGGATGCATGCTGGAATGACCGCAGCATACTCACAGGCAGCGAGGCACCAACACATCACATGTGACAGGTACAAGCATGCACATAGCAGCGGCAACAACACAGCCCAGCACAGCACCAGCACAGCACGCCTCACCTTGCGAGCACCCAACTGCATCAGACGTGACAATGGCATCATCGAACCCATGCAGCAGCGTGGTGACGCGCGCACACGACGCCTCGTCCAGCCCCGTCACCGACCGCAGCGCCGCCACCACCGTCTGCACAAACCGCCGCATGTGCTGCGCCGAGATCACCCGCCCGCCGCGCACATGCGTGCGGTGCAGGTACGCATACATCTCCCCTACTGTCGCCATCTGCTGCCCCGTCTCGTCCCGCAACTGGCACTCCTCCATGGTTGCAACAGGCCCTCCCAGTGCCGTGCACAGGGAGGCCACGATGCCTGCCCGCACGCTGCCTGCGCCTCCCTCTAAGTGCCTTGCCATGCTCCCAGGGGCCCGCCCTGCCAGGCATCTGTCTTTGGCCATGGTGAAAAGTGCTCGTGAGACTGCCACTTGCAGCGCTGTGATTCGCTGGCGGTCCGTGGCGCCAAGGAGAAGCCACGGGGTGCTGGGCGTAAGGCTTGCTGCTGCTTCTGCTGCTGCGGCTTCTTCTACTGTTGATGCTGTTGCTGCTGTTGATGCTGTTGCTGCTGTTGCTGCTGTTGCTGCTGTTGCTGCTCAGCCTTCCTGCTGCTCTCTGCACTTGCTGTGCTGCCCCGAGGGGCAGTTTGGCAGAGGCTGCAGCAGAGGCAGAAGCAGAATCAGAAGCAGTAGCCTGCTCAGGCGATGCTAGGGAACGAGAAGAGGCAGCAGTTGAACGGTGGGGGCTAGAAAGGGCTAGTGAAGAGGGCCAGTAGCCGTACGTGTGTGGGCGGTGCAATCTACGCAGTACCTGCACCTGGTGGGACGGGACGGTGGGAGGTGGCCGGGCGAGAGGTGAGAAAGAGCAGGCGAGCATGAGAATGAAGAGTGTGAGAGCGAAAGAGAACGAGAGCGTGAGAGAGAAAGAGCCAGGGGTGAGAGATTACAGAAAGGGTGCAAGGCTGGATTACACGACAATGCAGAGAGTGCAGCACAACTGCAGCTGATGCGGGTAGATGTGTGACAAGGGGGGACGGGCGAAGGAGAAGCAGAGATAGCAGCAGGAATGGCGACAATAGATGGATGGAACAGCAGCATGGAGGGAGAAGAGACAGCAAGGAGGGGGAAGAGACAGCAAGGAGGGGGAAGAGACAGCAAGGAGGGGGAAGAGACAGCAAGGAGTGGAAAGAGACAGCAAGGAGTGGAAAGAGACAGCAAGGAGTGGAAAGAGACAGCAAGGAGTGGAAAGAGACAGCAAGGAGTGGAAAGAGACAGCAAGGAGTGGAAAGAGACAGCAAGGAGTGGAAAGAGACAGCAAGGAGTGGAAAGAGACAGCAAGGAGTGGAAAGAGACAGCAAGGAGTGGAAAGAGACAGCAAGGAGTGGAAAGAGACAGCAAGGAGTGGAAAGAGACAGCAAGGAGTGGAAAGAGACAGCAAGGAGTGGAAAGAGACAGCAAGGAGTGGAAAGAGACAGCAAGGAGTGGAAAGAGACAGCAAGGAGTGGAAAGAGACAGCAAGGAGTGGAAAGAGACAGCAAGGAGTGGAAAGAGACAGCAAGGAGTGGAAAGAGACAGCAAGGAGTGGAAAGAGACAGCAAGGAGTGGAAAGAGACAGCAAGGAGTGGAAAGAGACAGCAAGGAGTGGAAAGAGACAGCAAGGAGTGGAAAGAGACAGCAAGGAGTGGAAAGAGACAGCAAGGAGTGGAAAGAGACAGCAAGGAGTGGAAAGAGACAGCAAGGAGTGGAAAGAGACAGCAAGGAGTGGAAAGAGACAGCAAGGAGTGGAAAGAGACAGCAAGGAGTGGAAAGAGACAGCAAGGAGTGGAAAGAGACAGCAAGGAGTGGAAAGAGACAGCAAGGAGTGGAAAGAGACAGCAAGGAGTGGAAAGAGACAGCAAGGAGTGGAAAGAGACAGCAAGGAGTGGAAAGAGACAGCAAGGAGTGGAAAGAGACAGCAAGGAGTGGAAAGAGACAGCAAGGAGTGGAAAGAGACAGCAAGGAGTGGAAAGAGACAGCAAGGAGTGGAAAGAGACAGCAAGGAGTGGAAAGAGACAGCAAGGAGTGGAAAGAGACAGCAAGGAGTGGAAAGAGACAGCAAGGAGTGGAAAGAGACAGCAAGGAGTGGAAAGAGACAGCAAGGAGTGGAAAGAGACAGCAAGGAGTGGAAAGAGACAGCAAGGAGTGGAAAGAGACAGCAAGGAGTGGAAAGAGACAGCAAGGAGTGGAAAGAGACAGCAAGGAGTGGAAAGAGACAGCAAGGAGTGGAAAGAGACAGCAAGGAGTGGAAAGAGACAGCACGGAGTGGAAAGAGACAGCAAGGAGTGGAAAGAGACAGCAAGGAGTGGAAAGAGACAGCACGGAGTGGAAAGAGACAGCAAGGAGTGGAAAGAGGAGCAGTACCTTCCGGCGGGGGAAGCGAGAGGTGTTGGAGGCTGGTGTGGGGGAAAGGGACGGGGCGAGTGGGATGCAGGAGGTGTGGTTTAAGCATGTGTGGAGAGGAGACGAGACGAGAGGAGAGGAGAGGAGAGGAGAGGAAGGAGAGACCTGTGAGGGGTAGGCAGAAACAGAGAAGTGGGAGCCAGTGGCTGTGGCACGGCACCAACAATGCGTGTGTCATGCCTCATGCCTCATGCCAGTCTCCAAGTGCACTGCCTTTGACTCTGTGTGTCACTTTTGAAAAATCTCAAAGGCGAGTCACACACACCCACCCACGCACACGTGAGTCACGGTTGGTGTGTGCAACGCCTCGGGAATATTTGGTGCTTATACGCAATGGACATTGGATGGAAGAGCTGGTGTGCTGTGAGAGCGGGAGGCACGAGCGGTCTTTTGAGACGTCTCAAGAGAGCTGGTGGGCTGTGAGACTGGGAGGCATGAGGGGTGCTGGTGGGTGCAGTGCAGTGTAGTGCGAGTGAGTGAGTGAGTGAGCGTGAGTCAGAACATGACACAAGGTGATGGCGGGAGGCTGGAGAGACACTGGAGCTGATAGCATGGGATGGCATGAGATGGCATGGGATGGCATGGGATGGCATGGGATGGCATGGGATGGCATGGGATGGCATGGGATGGCATGGGATGGCATGGGATGGCATGGGATGGCATGGCCATGGTGGGTGTACGTGAGAGTACCTGAGGTGTTGCAGGGGGTGTTGGGGAATATGGTGGCTATCTCTGCCTGAGGCAGCACGGGAAAGGGAGAGCAGGGCGAGTGAGAAAGAGAGGGGAGTCCCATATGAGGTGACTGCCTGCAACCCCAGGTGCAGAGACGTGGGCAGAGACGTGGGCAGCAGAAGGCAACAGTGAACAGGGCAGCAGAGGCGAGAGGACGTGAAGTAGAGCAGTGAAGGGGAACGGTTTTGAGATGTCTCAAAGCTCAAAAGGAATGCAAGCATGGCACTGGACTGGAGAGAGCAGGACTGGGGGGGTGTGGGGAAAGGGAGGGGAGGGGAGGGGAGGGGAGGGGAGGGGAGGGGAGGGGAGGGGAGGGGAGGGGAGGGGAGGGGAGGGGAGGGGAGGGGAGGGGTGGGGTGAGGTGAGGCAGGGAGCCCAGGGAGGAAAGCAAGGTGGGTGGTCAAGCACGAGAGAGAAGTGCACAGTGAGCACGACGGTGTATGTGGCAAGCACAGCCCGCACCATAACTGAGGGCCCGGGTGGAAGGCTAACCATGGTAAGCGAGCATTGCTTGGTTCGTTCAAACACGTGCATGCAGAAGCTGGTGGAGGAGAGGAAGGCAAGAAGGAAGACAGACACAGTGCGCTTGGGCAGGAGGGGCTTTTGAGCCGGGCCAAAAAAACGGGGTGATTGACGTACGATGGGGCAGGAGGCAGATTCATAGGGAGCGATGGCGGCGGGTGCGACGATGCACATGCGCGCACAGTCCACAAACGCCCCTGCCACCTCCCTCTCTGTGAATGTGCGGCCACACGCTTCTGGCAGACATGTGGCAAGCCGCACACACGCCTGCACATGCACATACAATCATGCACATGCGCATAGGTGCATCAGTGCACATACACACGCATGCGCGCATGGACGGATTGGGTGGGGTGGGGTGGTGTAGGAGTGGCATTGGTTGTGTACAGAAGTGGTGAGACGTGTGTGACTCGGATGAGTGGAGAAGAGACCCTGTGCTGTTCTATTCTAACTGTAACTGTATCGGCTTGCATGGAATAACAACATTCCCGAGCGCCAGTTGCATACCACTTGCTTGGCGCTCGGGATTCGGGAATGCATATAATGATAAGCAGTCGTATACACCCACTTCCATAACAAGCAGTTATATTTCTGAGAATTCTCAAAAGTCGCACAAACATAACAAGCAGTCGTATACACCCGCTTGCATAACAAGCAGTTGTATACCCCCTTTCGCTTTTGACGCGCCTTCGAAACAACCAAAAAGAGAAAGAAAGAAAGAAAGAAAGAAAAGACAACAACCACACCATCAACACCTGCCGGTTCAAACATTTCAGATGCATCAAACCAATAAGCAAGCACCAGTCGGCCACTCACATCGCGACAGATGTCAGTCCCACTCGCATCCACCGCACTGCCATCATCCTGTTCAGCACCATCAGAGCCATGAGCACAATATCCCCACGAGGCCAGCTCCACAGTACTAGACGACCCGATGGTAACCAGGCGCCGTGTTCCAGGGGGAGCAGCGTGCAGTGTGCCTCTGATGCCCCGAATGGCGCATTCAGCACCACCACCCAGTCCCCGTCTGGTATGTCTAGTGGGACTGAAACGTCCGCCTCGCCCTCTGGGAAGGACTGTGCGCCCTCGTACCTTGGGGAGGGCAGGGGAGGGGGAAGGAGAAGTGGGAATGGTATGGAGGTAGGGGATAGGAGGCATGGGGGGGAGGCTGGTTGAGTGCACAGAAGGGGAAGGAGAGGGGAGATGAGGGAAAAAACAATGCGGTAGGAGGAATGTGCTGAAATGCACAACTCAAAAGTGACCTCGGTTTTGAGTCGCTCGACTCAGAGACCACCAGCAGAGCAAAAGAGCGTTGGCTATGAGGAGCGGAGCGGGGTCATGGGCGTTGAAAAGGGCGCGTTTAAAAACCGCGTTAAAAAAGGCGCGTTTCAAAAGGCGCATTAAAAAAGGCGTGTTAACAAAGGCGCGTTAACACCAGCGCGCCAACAACAGCGCGTCAACAACAGCGCACTCGGTGTTGAGGCGCAGTCAGGCAAATCAGAATGTACCAGCAGAGCGAGACAGGGTTGACCATGCAGAGGTTCCAGGAGGACTGCTCGGCCGCCTGCTGCGTGTGCAGCTGCGAGGAGAGGTGCACGACCACGGAGGTGAGGTTGGGGAACGTGCCGCAGTCCGCCTCGCAGCCAAAGCGGCCGAACGCGGGGTACTGGAAGGGGCGGTTGCACGTGCCATCGCCACACGTGAAGTCCGCCCAGAGGGTCTGAGGCACGTGGGGGGACATGCAGCGGGTGAGAGGTGGGGATGATGGGGACCACTATTGAGAATTCTGAGAAGTGCCTGGCAGCCAAAGCGGCCGAACGTGGGGTGCTGAAAGGGGCGGTTGCATGTTCTGTCTCCACACGTGCAGTCTGCCCTGAGGGTCTGAGGCACGTGGGGGAGGGCAGGGAGGGCGGGAGGTGGGAATGATGAGGAGAGGAAGGGGTTGGAGGCGGTGAGGATGGGTGCGGACAGGGGATGGGTTGAGGAGGTTGTGAGCGAGTCATGAGAGGGCTGTAGCTAGGCGTGTTGAAACCAATGGGCACATGGGCGTGGGTGGGTGCATGGGCGCGTGGGTGTGCGAGTGGGGTGGGCATGTGAGTGCGGCAGGCTCACTTGTATGATGCTATTGTTGAGCCACTGGTAGAAATCGTCTGCGCCCGCAAAGGTGTTGGTGGCGTCCTGGCTCATGCCCTGTGCCCCATACATGCAATGCATGGCACATGGATGGCGTGAAAGAGAGAGAGAGGGAGAGTGGAAAGAGAGAGGTTGTGCAGGGACCGAGAGAGTGGGCAAGTGAAGGGGGAGGGGCGAGAGAGAGAGGAAAAAAGGACAAATCGAGGAGAAAGGGAGCGGGGAAAGCTTCGAGCATGCAGAGTGACGACTTTGCGCACGATGCGCCTCAAAAAATGTCTCATTTTACAAGCGAAGGAACGAGAGGAGGGAGAGGGAAAGGACCAAGGATGCAGGATAACGCGGCAGGCAGTGGCAAGGAGAAGGCGGCCGTGCATGTGTGCACAGAGAGCATATGCTGGCTGGTGGTGCATGGATCCGGTGGTGAGTGAATTGTGGAGTTGGATGGGTGGCTCTTGCGAATTCTAACACAACGCATGGACCCGTGCAGGGAGGCGCTGCAGGAGGAGGAAACGCTTTCAGAAGGAGGGTGTGAGAACTATCGCTTTGCACCTTGTCGAATCCGCTTTTTGGTAAGAAGACGTGGAGGAATGGGGTAGGGCGCAGTGGGGGATAGAGTGTTCGCGGGAGTGGGTGGGGGAAGGACCGCGGGGAGCGGGGTACTGCGGGGAGGGGGAGGGGAGAAGAAGAGTGAGTACGGGGGAACGGGAGTGGGGTAAGGGGGCCAGGGGAGTGTGGTGTGTGTGAGGGAGAGGGGGAGCGGGAAGGAAGCGCGAGAGTGGGGTAGAGAAGGGGGAGGGGAGTAGGGTAGGGAAAGGGGAGGGGAGTGAGCTAGGGAAGGGGGAGGGGAGTGGGGTAGAGAAGGGGGAGAGTGGGGTAAGGCAGGGGATGGGGAGCGTGGGGTCACAAGCGCGCAGCAGTCTCACAGGCGGGTAGAGCACGGAGTGGGCAGCAGTGATGTCATAGCTGCGGGAGGAATCAGCCTGCAGGTAGAGGATGGTGATGAAGAGCACCATGAGCAGCACGAAGCCCCCCAGGTCACGGTAGTGCAGCACTCGCTTCTGCAGCGCCAGCACGCGTGTGAAGGCCTCTGGGGCGCACAAGGGGGAGGGAAGGGGGAGGGGGAGGGAGGATGAGCAGAGGAACACAGGGGCATGAGCAGCACAAAGCCCCCAGGTCACGGTAGTGCAGCACACGCTGCTGCAGCGCCAACACTCGTGTGAAGGCCTCTGGGGTGCACAGGGGGGGGGGGGGAGAAGGGGAGGGGGCGGGAGGATGAGCAGAGGAACACAGGGGCATGAGCAGCACGAAACCCCAGAACGTGGTAGTGCAGCACACGCTGCTGCAGCGCCAACACTCGTGTGAAGGCTTCTGGGGCGCACGAGGGGGGCCGGGGCGGGAGGGAGGATGAGGAGAGGATCACACGGGCATGAGCCGCCGCACGGAACCCTCCAGGACGCGGTAGTGCAGTGCAGCACGCGCTGCTGCAGCGCCAGCACTCGCTGGAACGCCTCTGGTGGGCCGGGGGAACGGGGGACCGGGGGAGTAGGGGCAAGGGGGAAAGCGGAGGGAGGGGGGAGTAGGACGCACGGTGGAGGGTCGAGGAAGGCTGAGGGAGGTGTGCGGAGGGATTACACTTGCTGCGGAGTTGCGGGCCGAGGAGATGGGGAGAGGAAAAGGGGAAAGGAGAAAGGGGAGAGGAAAAGGGGAAGAGGAGAAAGGGAAGAGGAGAAAGGGGAGAGAAGAAAGGGGAGGAAAGGGGAGAGCATAAAAGGGAGAGGAGAAAGAGGAGAGGAGAAACAAGAGAGGAGAAGGAGAGAGGAGAAAGGGAAGAGGAGAGAGGATGGGAGGTGAAGATAAGGAGGGAAAAGGGACGCACGAGACTACTCTGAAAAGACAGCTCACTCAACCTTTACATTCCCCGTAGCACCGCTCTGAACCGGGACGCACCTTGCAGCACCTCGCAGTCCATCTCATCCACCTCTGCGTCATGCAGCACGCCGCTCTCCACGTGCGGACAAGCTGCCCCACTCCGCCCAAAATCCTCCGACAGAACGCGCATCAGCGGAGCACTCACACCCTCCTCTGCTCCCCCTCTCCCTATGCTCTTCCCCCCCGACCCTCCCGCCCCCCCAGCGTGCCCTTCCCCGAGTGCATCCCCTCCGCCCTCCGCGCGCCCATTCCCGCCGCCGTCCCCTGCCCCGCTGCTCCGTGTCTCCCTGCTGCTGCCCTTCCCCTTCCCGCCTGTGTGCTCCCTGCAGCTACCCCGCGTGCTTTTCGGCGGGCATGCGCGGGAAGAGGCACCCAGTCCCCTCTCGTCTTCCGCGTCACGACCACTGCTGCTGGGTCCCGCCCGCTCGTTCCCCGAACCCTCGCGGAACGAAGCGTTCCCCCCTGCGCCATCCCCTCCGCCCGCTCCGCCTCCCCATGTTCCCCCCGCCTCCGCATCCTCTTCTGCAGGGACCTCCTCCCCCCCCGTAGCGGAGTCGGGCAGTCTCAGCGACGTGCGCGCGCCACGTGTCACGAGCTCCGCATTCGTCGGGACGATGCTGCTGTCGGGAGTGTCGAGGGGACCCGAGTCGCGCGTGCTGCTGCTTTATGAGGGACGTGTCGCGAGGTCGTTTGAAGAAAAGAAGAAAGGAAGGCGCGTTCAGGGAATTCCGCAACAGGGTTCTACCACTGCAATCGGTGAGCAGTACTACTAGTACTAATCATTGCTGGATACCAATTGCTGATTGGCCGACACGGGTATGAAGAACGGCAACCTCCATAGAAACCTATCCGTCAGAACGGTGTGCAAAGCAAGACGGCAGACGAGCGGCATATGCCGAGATAGGCTCACCTAGGCGCGCCGTCGGACTTGGATCGGAATATCAGGAGGTTGGCTTGCTCGTACGCGTCGAATTTCTCCTCCAGCAAACTTATCGACCGCGGAAACTGCGCCTCCGCCTCGCCGTGCGCCCCTGCCGCCACCTCCGCGGCCCTCTTCGCGCGCACCACGGCGACCGCCTCCGCCATGAGGTTTGCCGCTAGTTAGCTCTCGCTACTGCTTCGCTCGCTGAGACTGCGAGGCACTAAGCAATCGAGGCCGCGGAAAAGAATCATCTTGCTTTGTGGGCAACCGAGTACCGAACGACTTGTTCCACTAACGTGTGCTTTTTCTTTGTTATCAGAAGCGCGAGTAAAGGAAACCAGGAAACTAGGAGCGTGGTGTTGTGGTGACTTGGGAGTGGCGTGCGTACTGTCGAGTTGGATGGGTCACTGGGAATGACTGAGAGGTGGGATGGAAATGGTGCCCCCTTTTGGAAAGGGTGTCAGTCACCGCGTCACACAAGTGCATTCTGGTGTGTGGTGAGTACGCACCGCACACCAGGCTTGCAGACTAGGATTTTTTTGTATTTACTCAAGGTTTTCCCAGCCGCCACTCATTACGAGATTGGGATTCCAGGAACTAATTGACCTGAAAACTCTCCGTTCTGACGGTCCGTAGGTCGTGAAAGTCGTGAACTCAACTAATGTTGGGCAACTCTGCATCCCAGATACCAAAGAACCAGAAGGGCTACTTTCAATTAACAACCCAGAAAACGTCAGGGCTACACTATAGCCCTGCTCTACAAGCCATTGTTTCCTCCTCTTGGTTGCTTCCGTCGACCGTCAATTTAGGTTCGATAGCATGGTCAGCCCGAAAATGAGTGTCATACCTGCTTGTTTCCATCCGAACCTAACGGAGACAGTGGCTGCAGAACAACCTGGGTTGTGGAAACGGAAACGTCGACGGAAGGTGTGTACCCAACTTCTCTCCCCAGTGATTTTTGTTTCTGGCTGCGTTCTGCAGGCAAGACAGAGGGGGGGGAGGCGGTAAATAGGAACCTTCCCCCAACTGCGTTTTTTGGATCAAACGCCCGGTCAGCCCGGAAAATGGATCCGAGCCTCCATTTACCCTCCAAAGGTAAATGGCAACAGAACAGCCATTTACCCTCAAGGGTATGAGGGCGGAGGAAGTTGCCTATTTCCCCACCGCAGCTTCCTTCTCTGACAAAATTTGCCCCCCTTTCGAAAATTGCTCTTGCCCTGGTTGTGGGACGGAGGGGGGAGGGAGGCGCTGGGTTAGGGAACACCACGGTTGAACCCTAGAAAGCAAACAGCCCCTTCCTTAAGTAGCCCAAACAGGGACGCGTCAACCTAGGTAAAAAAACAGAAGCCATCAACCTCCTTAAACTGGGTTTGCTCGAGGGAGTGCTCGGGTGCGTTTTTTACTCTACGTGGTAGCCCTGTGACAAATTTCAACCCTTTTTATGAGTCTGCCCAGTTCTCTCTACCCAACTTTTGTGCGTAGGAAATTGTAGCTGTTTTTTCGGCATTTACCTTCCGCAGCTTCGCACCCGAAACCAGAAATTTCCAACATTCAGTTGTAGCGGGGGGGGGGGAGGGATTCGACGGGGAAACTGCGTAGGAACCATCATCATTTCCCTTCGCCCCCCCACCTCCCTCCGAAGGGAGATGCCTGCAGAACGCAGCCTCTGTTTGGTTTCCAAAGGATACCTCCTTTTTACGGGAAGCAAAATGGCATCAAGATGGAAACAATTGTCCAGGTGCAACTAGTGCTCTTTTTAGGATAACTAGGCAAGAATGATTGAAAGGAGAGAGGGGTTGAACTAGCAGGCAGTTGAGTACAAATAGCAAACCCTAGATTGGGCTGTACTCACTATAGAGTACCCCACTGCAGGCTAGACAATAATAGCATTCTGACACACCCCCATAGCCAAAGTGGGGTGTAATCAGCAGAGCAAGCAAAGCAGTACAAGCTCAGGGTGGATCACAATGTCACCACACATTCTGAGCACAAGTTCAAGAAGCAATAGTTTAAAGTTCACAGTTATGAGCAAAGCTAGAGGCAGTCACAGAGGGCAAGCGAGGAGGAGGAGGGCTGGCGAGAGGAGAGAAGATGAAAGGCGCCGACTGAAGCTGCAGACACACGGGCAACAGGAGCGGCGCGCACAGTGGCTACCGAGCGCACGAGGGCACTGGACTACGGGAGTATCTGGCTCCGCGGCTACGACGAGCACACACAGGAGCAACGGACCCACAGGCGACTGGCGAAGCAGGCTCGCTGGGCTACCGAAACGCGCGAGGGCATCCGGACTACTGGCGCTGCTGGCGTCACGACGGCTACCTCCACGCAATCTCCCCCGACCGTCCCACGCCCCTCTCACACACCCCCTGCTGACACCCTAGCTCCACTCCGACGGTACCCCCCTTAAACCCCAAACCCTAGGCTCCCACACACCACCCCCCTCAGCGGCAGCTGTAGCAGAGGGAGACGAGGGAGGAGGAGGAGCAGGGGGAGGAACTCACAACCGACACCCCCATAGCCGCCACCCCCACACTCTTCACCCCCAAACCCTAATTTAGGAGAACGGGCTGTAGGAGGGGTGAGGCGCCGGTAGAAGCACGGGGGACAGTGGAGAGGGCAGGAGCAGCGAGGAACGGGCCGCCCACGGGCCTGGTAGAGCCGCCCGAACCGCGCGCAGGCGGCCCGAGCCGCGCGCGGGCCTGGCGCTTCCCGTACGGGCCGCGCGCGTGCCTGGCGCAGCCCGTACGGGCCGCGCGCGGGCCTGGCGCAGCCCGTACGGGCCGCGCGCAGGCCTGGCGCAGCCCGTACGGGCCGCGTGCCGGGTGTACGGGCCGCGCGCAGGCCACGACGGGCGACGGGGGGCGACGCGCGGGTCCCCGTCGCCCGTCGCAGCGCCTCCCGGGGGCGACGTGCCGAGTGACGGGGCAGGAACCCGCCGCGCGCCTCGGGGCACACGGCGGGCAGAGAACCGCCGCGCGCCTCGGGGCGCACGGCGGGCAGAAAACCGCCGCGTGCCTCGGGGCGCACGGCGGGCTGAAAACCCTAGTTTCGACGCCGCGCGCCACGGGGCGCGCGGCGGACAGGGAGTAGCAGTAGCAGTAGCAGTAGCAGCGGAAGGCTTAGGTGGTGGGCCCACCCACAGGATCGACCCAGGAGGGTCGACCTGCTCTGATAGCATTTCAGGATAACTAGGCAAGAATGATTGAAAGGAGAGAGGGGTTGAACTAGCAGGCAGTTGAGTACAAATAGCAAACCCTAGATTGGGCTGTACTCACTATAGAGTACCCCACTGCAGGCTAGACAATAATAGCATTCTGACAGCTCTACCCTCCAAACTACATAAATTCCGTAAGCAAAACCCCTCCTATTTTTAGGCGCCGATGGGTTGAAGCGAAATTCAAGATATGTTAACAACCCTAGGGATTGGACTCCACGGATGTATTTTGTTTGGAATAAAAAACTATTCAGGAAAGTATACTTCAAACATGTGAACTTAAAGAGTAACTATTCCCTCCGCCTTTACGCGAAAGAGGGCCGACACCAGCATTTAGGCGGGAAGAAATTTCTTATACAACCAGGTGAGCTTTCGCGGTTTGGAGAGTGTGACGAGTCTAGAGGAAAGCCGTAAGTGGTTTCTCGTGTTTCCGTTTCCACGCCGTGCCCGTTTGCCTGTAGAACAGGGCCTATACGTGCTTTCACAAAAAGTTTTCCTTCCGTGAAAGGCGTGGACTGGTTCAAAACAGAGGCGACTGTTATGAGTTTTACTAAACAGAGTGCGCGGAAGACTTCTATAAAGAGTCTGTGATTACATAATCAAGAAACAATGAATAAAACGAGCATTTATAGGGTGAAAACTAGCTAGGCGAGAACCTTTAGATGTGCGTGGCTTGGAAATGTCGTGATTGGTGCGTGGCGACTCGGAATTTGTTCGGTGCGAATGTGTAGGCTGAGCCATCCTGAGGCGAAGTGCTCAGGCTGTCCTCGCTAGGAGCAGCCTCTACAGTAATTGTCAAGAAAGCTAGGCAAACGATAGAAACAGGAAGGAGGATTTTGCACTAGCAGCAGGTAGGATACATATAGGAAACCCTAGTTTGGGTTGTACTCACTATAGAGTACCCCACTGCAGGCTAGACAAACATAACATTCTGACACACCCCCATAGTCAAAGTGTGGTATCATCAGCACAACAAGCAGGCATAGCAATAGTTCACAATGATAAACAAAGCTAGAGACTATCACAGAGGGCAAGTGAGGAGGAGGAGAAACTGTGGGGGCGAGAAGATGGGAGGCGACGGCTGAAGCTGCAGACACACGGGCAACAGGAGTGCGCAGCACTGACGCTACCAGGCTAAACCCGGACTACACGGCGACAGGCGCAGCTGGCTCGCTGTGCTCCCAGGAGTGCTCACACTGTGGCTACCGGGCGCAGAGCCCCGGACTACTCAGGCCACAGGGGGTCGTGGCTCTCTGGACTTCAGGCGCTGCGGACGACAAGACGACTGCCTCCACTCAACTTCCCCCAGCTGTCCCACACCCGTGTCACACACCCCCTGCTGCACCTCTAGCACTGCTCACACGCCACCCCCCTCGTACAACTCCGACGGCTCCAACACATCCACCCCCCTCAGCGGTAGCTGCAGCAGTGGGAGACGGAGGAGGAGGAGGAGCAGGGGACGGCTCACACACACGGCACCCCCATACTCTCCACCCCCAAACCCTAAAACAGGAGCGCGGGCAGCAGCAGGGGTGGGGCGCGGTCAGCAGCTCGGGGGAAGGCGTGCGCAGGCCGAACGAACCGCGCGCGGGACGCCCAGGCCGCGCGCGGACCTGGCGCAGCCCGTACGGGACGCGCGCGGGCCTGGCGCAGCCCGTACGGGCCGCGCGCGGGCCTGGCGCAGGCCGTACGGGCCGCGCGCGGGCCGTACGGGCCGCGCGCGGGCCTGGCGCAGGTCGTACGGGCCGCGCGCGGCCGCGCGGGGCCCAGGGGCGCGTCGACGGGCGACAGGGGGCGCTTCGACGGTCGACGGGGGGCGACGCGCGGGTCGACGGGGTAGGAAACCGCCGTGCGCCTCGGGGCGCACGGCGGGCAGAAAACCGCCGCGCGATTCGTGCGCGCGGCGAGCAGAAAACCGCCAGGCGCCCCGAGCGCGTGGCGGGAAGAAAA